CTTTCTTGCATGGTTGGATTCTATTTACGTTTCTTTATCTGTTTAATACTTGGTCGTCTCTATGATAAAGATTTTTGTCGTTCTAGTGATTGTTTTTGTGGTCACAACTTTCTACAGTATTATCAATATTGGTCTGCAAGGTCTTGTATACTTGTAGTTAAAACTAGTTGAGCTTTTCTAGTGATTTTTTTATTTTTTGACTTTGTAATTCTCAATAGTTTGTCCCATCTAATCACCAGCCATTAAATCATGTTCTTTTAATGACTGCAGCTTGATCCTCATTGGTTGGATTCTTGTTGCTGGCACATTTATACTTTGTGGTATATTTCTCTTTCTTCACAAGTAAGTCCCTTCTATCTTGTAGAATTTATATTGAAGTTTTTAGTTTTCACCTTTCAGTTACTCTGTTAACTTGTCTATTATGAGTCACTTATTTCGTGAAGTCCATTTTCTGGTATAATCACTTGTGTTGCACATGTATAACAAAAGCCTATTTTATTGCATATTTGCTTGTTGAATCTAGAACACTATAAGTGGAACGAGATTCCACACCCACATTCAATTTTTTTGTCTCTTCCTAAAAATAAATTTTATGCAAAACTTTCTTTTTTATATAGCTTTGGATACATTAGAACCAGCCTCCATTGATTTTCTTAATCTCTATTTCTCGGTTCAACCAACCCTTCCACAATCGGATTGTAGTCTTTTGAGCTAAGACAAACAGGAATCGCATCTTGCTTTGCGGTATTTTTCCTATTGGATTTTTTTTATTTGAAAATAAATTTAGGATTTGAAAATTCATTTTATAATTAGAAAAAAAATTCAAAACAGGATGTTCTGAAAAGTATTTTTTGATCTGAAATATCTTTCAAAATACTTGTTTAATAATTTTTTTTTATATTTTAGTTTTTGTGTTCTGAAAATATAAAAGGCAATTTTGAAACAAGTATTTTGGAAAGTAATTTTAAATCTAAAATTATCTTCTGAAAATTTCTTTCTTTTGTTTTGGATGGGTATTTAGAATATGTTTTTCGAATCTAAAACTATTTTTCGATCTTAAAATATTAAAAATAAGATGTTAGAATATTTATTATATTTTTATTTACGAGTGATTTGGAAAATACCACTTTTATGGGGTGGAGGAAGTAGTTTATTCATGTTCGAAGTAAAGCCAATTTTATTTTGTGGGATAAGAATAGTTACTGTCTCTATTCTAGTTACTTTTGGAATAAGTATTTAATTATAGTAATTAAACTGGCACAAATAGAAAATTAATTAACCTAGAATAAAAATACTGCCAAAATACTCCCTCAGTTTTTGGTGGCTAAAGCTATTATTGTATATTCAATGGTTTTGTTGTTCATGGATCTTTATGGTGGCTAAAACTATTATTATATATTCAATAGTTTTCTGTCTTAAATGGACAGGTTTGGAGAGACCAAATGCTACTTTAGCATCTGTGTTACAGTCCCTAAAGTTCAGTTTGAAGATAGTGTGTTGGAAGCTTTATTAATGTCGATTAATCTTAGTGGTTTGAAAAACCTTTTATCATTGTAAATGGCTTTGACATAGTGCCAGCTTAGATTATTAAATTTGTTTATTATGAATATATATTAAAATTGTGGGTGTTGAATAGGTAACACATTGTAAGAGATTTATTAATGTAATTGTTTAAGAGATTGTTAAATAATAAGAGTTGTATTTATTTTTTTAAATTCTATTTATAAAAAATAATCAGTTGTTATTTGAACATTTGGCAATTCTGTTTGACTTTTATCATTATCAGCTATATAAAACTTCTAACTATTGACTGCAATAGAATCATCTATTTTATTTTTTTTTATAAAATCATAATTATATACGGATTTTTCCGTATATAATTATATACAGATTTTATATACGGATTTTTCCGTATATAAATTATATACTTATTTTATATACGGATTTTTCCGTATTTAATTACATACGGATAAATCCGTATGTAATTATATACGGATATATCCGTATGTAATTTACCTACGCTCTTTTTATATATGGATTTTTGTCCGTATATAATCCGTATGTAACATCATTTTATATACGGATTTTGAAGGTTATATACGGATTTTAATCGTATATAATTGTGATTTTTCTTGTAGTGTCCTTTCTAGTTCAGATTCCAGAAGTTCCTAGGAGAAGTTGCGTTGATTCCATCTTGCACTAGAATCAGCTGGATCCTTCTTCCGGTCATTATCTTGAATATACACGTGGTTGCTAATACAGGTGAACTGTTAAGCCCGTGGTAGCTGTGGTTGCTTTATGATGGGTGTTTCGAAAATCTTCTTCTAAGGTTTTTTTACTCAATAGTAAGTTATTATTATTTATATATGCCCAAATTGATCAATCGGAAGCTAATGATAAGGAATAAATGTGTAATGAGTAATTTTCTGGCATACATCAAATGTTAAGAACAGTTTCTAAGCGAATCTGGATTCTCTGAGTTTTTGGTGTTGTCTCTCTACTGTGATTTCAAAATACACTATAAATACTGATTTTGATAGTTTTAAAAATCTAAATTCTTTCTAAGAAAAATGACACCTTTTATCATTGGTAATCATGAACAATAACAATTTTGAAATTTGATGCATTGCATGGGGGCGTCCATTTTAGGGGTGGTTAGGAAAATTTCACTATACATAATCATATATTTTTCTAAAATTGAGTGTAGGATTTATTGATAATTGAAGGATTATAAATAGTCGTGACACTTACGATATTACAGAAATAAAAATAAAAATTAAAAATAAAATATCAATTATCTTAAAAATAAAATTTATTTAATCTATCATAAAATAATATTGTACCTAAATAAACAGAAAATCATAACTATTTATTCCTATTTCATCTTTATCAAAATCTAACTAAATGTTACTAGACCCAAAACTAATAAAATAAAATTTAAACAAAATTATTAATAAAACCCTAAAATTTAAGTTTATCCCAACAAACTCTCCCATAAATTTAAATTCTTCCTTCCTTCCTTCGGCTTTCCATATGCATCATCCCACACCGGGTTCACTTATTTCAATCAGATTTAAGTTAGAGTTATCCGAGCTGTTGCTAGTCATATCTTGTTTCAAGTATCTTCTTTCCAAGATTTTAAGCTCTAGTTCATATAATCAGTTCTTCTTTGCTTTTACCTAGGTTGCTAGATGACCATGTGCTTATCCTTTAAATACAGTACCTGATCTTTCATAAAAACTGAATTACCTTTTTCAATTATCTGACCCATGCTTAAAATATTGCTCTTCAGCTCCGGAACATAGTAAACATCCTTAATCTCTCCAACTCATCCATTCTTTTGCATATGTTGGATTGTTCAACGCCCTTTCACGGCCACCTTGGAGTCATCTCGAAAAGACACAAGTTTGGCATCCACCTTGGTGAGTTTATCAAAAAATTTCTCGTTTCCACACATATGATTGTTTGCCCCAATATTTAGATACAATATCGAGTTGGTAGAAATCTCATCAGTCTTATTCATCTTCTTCTTCCCTATTTTTATCTGGTTCAAGAACGCTAGATGTTTTCTCTTCCTTTTCAAGAGCCGCCTTCTTCAGCTCTTAAGCTGAATCCTTTGCTTATTCATAATTTCATTAGCTTCATGTAGAAGTATCCCTATCTGCTGAATCTCGTCATCTTTTTGTTTGAGTTCCTTTCCACATTTATGCACCATTTACCAAGATCACTTCATCCATTACTAGGATCGTGCTCTCCATGTCCATTGCACCCGAGCTCTTTGCTAGCAACAATTCGTTTTCATCTTTAGTAAGGAGATTAGTCTCCCCATTTGTCTCAGCCTTGCAATACTTTGCAATATGGCCCACCTTACCACATTTGTAGTACTTTTTTTATCCACACTCTGTTTGAATAGTCACTTAAAATACTCAACTCCTAATCGATCTCCTCGGTCTTTTCCTTGTCCTCGGTCATGCCAATTTTGTTGACCGATTTGCTCTTCACTATCAACCTCAAAATTACCTCGACCACGTCCACCTCGTCCTCGGCCTCCTCGCCCTCTACTGCCAGGACCTTAGCTCTGAGTAATCCGAGTTTTATTCAAGTCAAACTGTACCTATAGTGCTTGATCGTCGGGTTTAACCTGATCATCCTAACCCCTTCTCCTTTGTTCGTGGGCTTCTAATGACCCAACAAGTTCATCCACTGTGAGAATCGGCAAGTCCTTCGATTCTTCGATGGCACACACGATACTTTCAAAATCTTTTGTAAGGGATCTCAAAATTTCTCCCATAACCGGTTAGATGGCATTTGTTCTCCATTCCTACTGAGTTGGTTGGCCACCTTCTCCACCCGAGTTATGTACTTGATTATCTGCTCATCATCTTCAACTGTTCAAACTCTTCTTTGAGAGCTTGTATCCAGACTTGTCTAACGCGGTTGTCACCTTTATATGCAACCTCTAATATCTCCCAGGCTTCCTTTGCTGATTTAGCATTCGTTATTTTTTCAAATCCTGACTCATCTACTGCATTGTAGAGGAAATACAATGTTGATCCATCTCTTGCACGTGATTTCTTCAACGCGGTTATCTCTGTCATTGTCTGATATTCGTCTTCATCAGGTTCAACATACCCGTCTTCCACCATATCTCAAACGTCTTGGGATCTCAATAACGTCTTTATCTGTCGGCACCAATTATCATAATTGGTTCTTCTCGTCAATTGTGGCATACTAACACCATTGACAACCTTTGTCATCTCTCTCACAAAAAAAATTAAGCACTTTTTTTTTTTCATGGTGTTTGACTCTCTCCTCTCTCTCTTTTTGTCCATAGTAACTCAGAACATAAAGATCTAATACCACTGTTAAGAAAATCTCACATTACACACACTCAAATATTCATTGATAATTGAATATCTGTGACATTTACAATATTACGGGAATAAAAATAAAAACAGAAAATAATATATCAACTATCTTAAAAATAAAATCTATTTAATCTATCATAAAATAATATTGTACCTAAATAAACAAAAAATCATAATTATTTATCCCTATTTTATCTCTATCAAAATCAAACTAAATATTATTATACCTAAAACTAATAAAATAAAATTTAAAGAAAATTATTAATAAAATCCATTTAAGTTTAATATACCATAATTTTATGCACAAATTGCATATCTACGAAGTGAGAGTTTGTACTTACGATTTTATGAGATCCTTGACACAATTTGTTCAACCATATTGTTAATTATTATTGTTTCTTTGTTGTTGAAACTAGGTGGAGTTTTTGCCATTAGTCCCCGTAGTAACCTCACTACATGAAATTCAAATTGCTACTGATGATGGGGGATCGTGCTAATATCATAGCTTTGTCGAAAATTTATGAATATGATGCCTTTGAATCTAATTTACACTCCACATATTATAATAACTATATAGATTAATCATAAAAAAGATTTCAATTTTGTATGTGATGGATATATTTTTATTAAACTTTTTTCTTCTTTTTTGTTATTTTTATTATTTTGTGAGTGTACTCATTCGTGGACTTTATTCATCTATTAGCTTTTTCTTTCATTCTAAGGTAAGGGACAAATAATATTACTCTTTTTTTTAAGGTTTTTCCGTGATTAAAAAACGTTTAAGCTTAAGACTTAGAGAGTTACTAATGGATTAATATCAAAGTGAGTTTATTTGAAATGTAGTTAAAATTTACAAATGTCTCAATCAAATTAAATTATGCATATATACTAAAATTGCAAAATAAAATAATCAAACTAAATATAAGAATATAAACAAAACATGATGAAGTTATTTAAGAAAAATATGAATGATAGAATGATTCCTCTCTCATAATTAGGTTTAAAACTCACAAAGTTAAAATTTTTTTGTCAAAATATTCAACCAAATAATTATCAAATTAATTCAATTAATAATTTATATTTATGAATTAATTAGGTTACTTTTTAATCAATTTAACAATTTATGACAATTATTTCACGATTATGATAATTTTAGTTACTAAATCAAATCTTCAAATCTAATGTTAGTATATTTTAATGAAAATTAAAAAAAAATGGATGAATTGCTTATGAGACATATTATGTAAATGTTTCACCAAGTAGATTTCCAAAAAAGAGAGATATAATCACAACAAACCATTGTCTTTCTTAATGAGAGTTTTTCTCACTTAATGCTGTCACAATTTTCTCAAATAGAAATCACAATTTTTTTATATTAGTAAATTATACTAACTCCAGTAATATTAAGATAATGTAGCCAACAAAAATAGAAAAAGGTAAAGTCAACTATACAAAGAGTTAGTCAAATAAAATAATAAATATAAAAAATAAAGATAAACAAAATAAAAAAAATATTAGGTAACAAAATTTAAATAAAAAAATAAATAAAATAAAAAGATAAAAAAATAAAAAATAAAAAAAGATAAAAAATAACAATAATTAAGAAAATATGTTAATTACACTCCCTTTTCAAGATAGGATTCATCAACAAATATATTTAGATCATTTTTCAATTAATTATTGTCTTGTTTGTATTCTCATTATTAACCAAAATATATTCTCAATTAAAAAGTAAAAACTTTGCAAATTAATCATAGTAAATTTAAT